TTGGGCGGCCGCCAGAGGGAATGCTTGCGGCGGCGCACGCGGCGGTAGGTGCAGTCGTACTCCTCGCTGAGCGGCGAGCGGGGGATGCTGTCTGCCTGAGAGAGAAGAGGGCACCACGCGCGGGAGGGGACTGTTAGTGCAACCAGCCGGAGCCCAGCGTGCCCCTGGGGCGTCTCTGCAGGGCAGGACAGCCCACGCCCAGCTCCCTGTCCCCTCCCAGCCAGGGGCTCCAAGCCCTCAGGCAGCAGACACTGAACTGGGCCCTCCGGAGACCCTGAGGCTGTGCGCACTGGGGCTGGGGGTGGCACCGTGTGAAGGGGGGTTAGGGTGCCTTCCTCACACACCCATCAGCCAGTGTCTCTGGGAAAAGAAAACAACAAAAGGGGGTAGCCAATCAGATCACTGGGCAGGATTTAGTGATAACGTTTAAGGGGGAAAACAATTATTCCAGAGCCTTCAGCCAATCACAGCCTTGATTATTCATGAAAGCGGGACGTCTCTGAATAAGCTTGTTTGTGATTGGCTAAAGGCTCTGGACTCCGTTTTTTCCTTTGGCAATTGGACCAGCTGTGCAATGCGCTGAAGCCAATTGAGGTTAAGCTAGGGTTGCCAGGTGTCCGGTTTTCACCCGGAGAGTCTGCTTTTCACCGCCTCTGTCCAGTAAAAAACCCCAGAAAATATCAGACATGTAAAATGTCCGGTGTTTTTTGTTTTCCGGTGGGGATGGTCTTTCCCTGCCACGCCTTAAAAGCACAGAGTGACCTTTTTTTTTTTTTTTTTTTGCTCACCCAATTTTTTCCCGCTATGTTCGGTATTTTAAAGTATCCGGCAACCCCAGGTTAAGCCTGTGGTTAAAAGTTCAGAGAACTCTTCTGGATTGGTGACAAAGTCATGACATTTACATGGTGATGTCATTGCATCACCATGGCAATGACATCCATATGGGACAGTCTCTTTCATCACAGGGTTGCAACAATGTGACCCAAGTCACATCAGGTCAGGACAGACCATCCCTGCACATGGCAAGAATGTGGCACGTTGTGACAAGGAAGCCAGGTCCTCCCTCAAGTGTTTTGTCAGTCACAATGACCTGATGTCAGGCTGAAACAACACCATCGCATTCCATCACAATGTAAAGCAAAGCTTTCCCATGGCGAGAATGGCATCATGTCAAAACCTGGGACAACAGCCCCATGTCGCCATCACAACACTGCCACCTGGACATGGGGTTGCATGGAGCCAAGCCATCATGCCATCACTCTGTCCTGACACAACAGGGTCTGGTCACAGCACGCAGGCATCTTCTTACACCTGTACATGCCCCCAGGCTGTGCGCTGTCATGTCTCCCAAATTCCCTCCCATCACAACGTCAGGCTGGCACAGCACCGCAACACGACGACCTTGCATCAGCCTGAAATAACCTCTGAGCTCTGGAAACGGTGCTGAGACCCTGCAAAACGTGGGGTGTTTTGGGGAGGGGGGTGTTAGCTGCAGGACTCAGGAAGCCAAATTTCCAGAATAGCTCCGGGTCAGATTTTCCAGTTCTCAACACTGACAATCTGAGCCAGATTTTCAGGACTTAGCTCCTCACATGCCCCCATGGGTTGGGCTTCTGTGAAAATGTAGGGCCAAAGTCAGGATGGTCACTATCCCTGGGGGAAAAGGGGGGCTGAGCTTTTCTCCAAACCTCTCTCTGGACTCCAAAGCAGTTAGTAGCTCAGACAGCATTGTGAAAGCGTAGCCCTGGGTGCTTAGCGGACCTGTGAGTGACCTGAGTTAGGAGGACAGAGCACTTGTCATTCTATGCTCCCCCGCGCTGTTCCCTCCTACACCCCCTTCCGCTCCCTGGGGCCGACCAGCAGCCGCTGCCTCTCTTCTCCCACCTACATCTGGGACTCACATCTCGCAGGTTGAAGGTTATCTCCAAGTTGCTCCAGAAGTTGTCGGAAAAGGCCGGGTACATGTCCAGGACCTCCAGGAGGTCCTCCCGCTGGATCTTATGCAGGTCGCAATAAGTCAGTGCCCGGACGTCTGCGTTGGATTTCCCAGGTCGGGCATAAAGGCTGATGGGCTCCCCAAAAATGTCGTTCTTCCCTGCGCAGTGGAGAGAGGCTCATTAGGGGTGTGGGCAGCGGAGCTCTCCCTAGCGGCTCTAGGGCTTTCAAGAGAGCTCTCTGCTAATGTCCTGGCGTGTGTCCCCTCATCTCCTCCTGCTCCCTGCCCTCCTCTGGGTCCTATCCCCTGGCTCACCCTCTGGACGCCTCCTGCTCCCTGCTTAGCCCCTTCCGTCACACCTCCCTTCTGCAGCGCCACCCCGGCCCAAGGCCCCCTGTGCCGACCCCTTTGCTCCTTGCACTGGGGCTGATCTTTGCAAGCTCTGTAGCTGCTCTGTAACCTGGGCCTCTTGAGGGCTCTAACACTGAATTAGAAGGATGCCCTCCCTCCCCACCGCTAGGCCTGGCTGCTGAAACTGACCCGCGCTCACTGAGGCCAGGGCTAAGGATGTTAAAGACCAGTCGACTAGTCGACGCTCACTGAGGCCAGGGCTAAGGTTGTTAAAGACCAGTCGACTAGTCGACTATCTGATAAGCAAATGCTTATCGGATAATTGAGTCGACTAGTCGCTTCCCCCCCTCCCTTTGCTGCCTCTATTAGATAGAGGCAGCAAAGGGTGGGGAGAGGAGGGAGTACTTCAAAGCGGCAGTGTGCCTGTAAGGGCTCCATGTGGTGCTGCCACTTTGAAATGCTGTGACGGCATTTCCACGGAACGCGGGATCAGCTGGAGATTTCAGAGCATGCGGAGCTCGGGGTTAGCTGGGGAGTCCCACGCTGACTCCGGCTCCATGCGGCATTTCAAAGCAGCAGTGCTGCATGGAGCCTGGGGTCAGCGCAGGACTCTGAGTCCCCCACTGACCCCGGGCTCCATGCGGCCTTCCAACTTTGAAAGGTACAAGAGCTCCCGCTAGGCGTGGCTCGGGCTGCATGCGGAGTTCCAACTTCGAAATGCACAAGCGCCCCCACTGGGGCTCCTGTACATTTCAAAGGAGGAATGTGGAAGTGCCTATCGATTAGTCGAATAGTTGATGGAAATTCCATCGACTGGTCAACTAGTCAATTAACCGACATTTAACATCCTTAGTCTGGACATGCAAACCTCACACAATGGTCAAGTTAGATTTCTAGCCTTGCTAGTTCTCTCTGCTACAGCAAGGCTAAACCTATGTGGAGATATGGGGCAGCATGGGCTGGGAGCGAGGGAGAACCCACAGGAGAATCCCCTTGAGGTTTGTGGCAGCTAAGTCCTGCCTTTCCTCTGCCCACGGGGCCTGGTAGGAGGAAACATTTAATAGAATCATAGAACTGGAAGGGACCTCGAGAGGTCACCCCATCCTCCCGACAGGACCAAGCACCATGTAGACTAGAGCATCCCTGACAGGTGTCTGTCCAACCTGCTCTTAGATATCTCCAGTGATGGAGATTCCACAACCCCTTCTCCCTAGGCAATTTATTCCAGTGTTTAACCACCCTGACAGGAGGAAGTTTTTCCTAATGTCCAACCTAAACCTCCCTTGCTGCAATTTAAGCCCATTGCTGCTTGTCCTGTCCTCAGAGGCCAAGGAGAACAATTTTTTACCCTCCTCCTTGTAACATCCCTTTAGATACTTGAAAACTTCTCTCATGTCCCCTCTCGATCTTCTCTTAGATAACACTTCATGCATGGTATATTTCATTATTTCCTTGTAAACTAAATTATTAATTATATTAATTATTAGTAGTATTTATTTCAGTAGTGCCTACTGGCTTCTATTAGGACTTTGATGTCATCGTACTAAGTGCTGTGCACACACAACACATAAAGAGACAATAAGCACTTTGTCATGGAAACTAGCTTAGTAACTCATATACCTACACTGCATTGTACACCTGGTCTTCTACAAGAGAGTGTCTACACTGGCATGTGCTTAGACAAATTTGAGGATTGGGCCACAAGAAATCTGATGAGGTTCAACAAGGACAAGTGCAGAGTCCTGCACTTGGGACGGAAGAATCCCAAGCATAGTTATAGACTGGGGACCAACAGGTTAAGTAGTAGTTCTGCAGAAAAGAACCTGGGTGTTACAGTGGATGAGAAGCTGGATATGAGTCAACAGTGTGCCCTTGTAGCCAAGAAGGCTAATGGCATATTGGGCTGTATTAGGAGGAGCATTGCCAGCAGATCCAGAGATGTCATTATTCCCCTTTATTTGGCTTTGGTGAGGCCACATCTGGAGTATTGTGTCCAGTTCTGGGCCCCCCACTACAAAAAGGATGTTGACGCATTGGAGAGGGTCCAGCTGAGGGCAACCAAAATGATTAGGGGCCTGGAGCGTATGACCTATAAAGAGAGACTGAGGGAGTTGGGTTTGTTCAGTCTGCAGAAGCAAAGAGTGAGGGGGGATTTGATAGCAGCCTTCAACTTCCTGAAGGGGGGTTCCAAAGAGGATGGAGAGAGGCTGTTCTCAGTAGTGACAGATGGCAGAACAAGGAGCAATGGGCTCAAGTTATGGAGGGAAAGGTCCAGGTTGGGTATTAGGAAAAACTATTTCACTAGGAGGGTGGTGAAGCACTGGAATGGGTTACCTAGGGAAGTGGTGGAGTCTCCATCCCTAGAGGTGTTTAAGTCTCGGCTTGACAAGGCCCTGGCTGGGTTGATTTAGTTGGGATGGGTCCTGCCTAGAGCAGGGGGCTGGACTTGATGACCTTCTGAGGTCTCTTCCAGCTCTATGGTTCTATGATTCTATGTGCTTTTGTGCAAGAGCATCCATGCCAGTGTAGACGCTCTCTTGCGCAAGAAAGCTCTGATGGCCATTTTAACCATTGGGGCTTCTTGCGCAAGAAATTCATGTTGCCTGTCTACACTGGCCAATACTGGAAGAGCTCTTGCGCAAGAGGGCTTATTCCTGAGCAGGAGCGTCAGAGTTCTCGCACAAGAAGCCCTGATTTCATACATTAGAACGTCAGTTTACTTGCGCAAGAACATGCGGCCAGTGTAGAAAGGCAGCAAGTTTTTGCGCAAGAGCGGCCACTTTTGCGCGAGATCGTGCCGGTGGAGACACAGCCCCAGATGAATACTCCATTGGCTAGGTCTACACTGCATGCTTATTTCAAAATAACAGAGTGCGTATCTACACAGCAAGCCCGTTATATCGAAATAGTTTCCAAATAACGGGCTTCTTACTCCGACTCCTGGTACCCTCATTTCACGAGGAGTATGGGAAGTCGGAGGGAGAGTGTCCTTCCTTCGACTTCCTGGTGTGCAGCCAGCGCCAAAAGCCAAGTTAAGCTACTTTGATGTCAGCTATACAATGAATGTAGCTGAAGTTGCTTAACTCGACTTTAGCCCGCAGTGTAGACGTGCCCTTAGAGTCTCGTGGGTTTGGAGGGCTGGGAGAGCAGGTCTCCTGATCTATGGTACTTCCTGGTTTAGGCTGCGCCAGACATCACAAGATCAGCTGCCGGGTGTGGGATTTTGGGGCCCTGGCCCTGATCTGCAAGGGGCAGGCCTTTGGGACAGAACAGGTTTGGGGGTGGAGGAATTGGGACATGCCAGTTTATTCCCAAGCCTAGAAACAGGCAGAATCTAGGGGTGTGAGCTGGGTTTGCTTCAATTCCAATTTGATGAGAGTTGATTCTCACACTGTAATCCCTGGCAGGGCTGGATTGAGGCTAAATGAGGCACAAATCTATTCGGCTGCAGGCATCTTCTAAACACAGCCCAGCCCCCTGCTCCCTCCCAGACCTGGTGGATGCTTCTTCCTGGCCTCTCTGCAACACAGAGAGGATCCGGTTCTTCTGTTGGGCCTTGGCTCCCAAGTGAGGCAGCACTGGGTGCTAGTGGCCACCGAGAGGAGGGGAATGGGGACCAGGACCCAGGCCAAGTGACCTTGTGGGGTCTCCCACCCACAGCGGAGACCCACTGCCCAAAGTGGGGCATTCTCGGACACTGGTATCAGCTTTCTTCTGGCTCCTTCTCTCTTCCCCATCTCCCATTTGCCCCACGCCCTGGCCGGGAAGGAAGGACTCTCCCACCTAGAATGGCCACCACAATGTCCTCCCGGAGGATCTCGATGGAGCCGCGGGAGATGAAGTAGAGGGTGGTGAGGACATCTCCGTAATGCACCAGGGTGTCTCCGGGAGGCGCGTGGGTCGTCTTGAACTTCATGGCCAGGGCTCGGAGGCAGCCCTTGCTGGCCCCCCGGAAGGCCTTGCAGTTCTGCAGGAGGGTGCGGTTCAGGTGGAGGCAGATGTCGGCCTGCAGGCATTCGGGGAAGCCTTTCAGCACCTGCAGGGGGAAAAGGGGGCAGCCAGTCACACAGCAGGGCCAGAGGGAGAGCCCGCCCGGTCTATAGGCAAACACAGACTGGGCCACCCGGCCTGCATTCCCATCCAGAAAGGGATCCGAGCCATCACACCCAGCCAGAAGCTACCAGTGACTAATGTCTATAATGGGCCAACTCACCCTGTTGCACCACCCCAAGCATCGGGGAGGGGCACTCCAGGTCCCTCGGATGCAGGCTCCAAAGGGACCTGCTGGGACACGGAGTCGCAGCGCTTAGGATCTGGTCCCAGCTGTGGAGAGGGTGGGAGCCAGAGGGGCAGAGAGTGGATGTGGGGGGAGCGTGGGTCTGGAGAATTCTGAATGGCCTGCAGCAGCCTCCACACAAGGGGCAGAAATCCCCGCCCCTCCCAGTCCACGTGCTGGGCTCTGCCCTGTGGATCCTGCCCTCTAGGAGCACGGAAGCCCGGTGCCTTCAGTAGAAACGGCCCAGGGGAAGTAGCTGGATGTCGGGTGAGGTCACTGGAGCGTGGCAGGATGGGGAGCGCTGGGAGGCGCTCTGCTCTGGACTGGAGGGATAACTTGCTGTGATGATGGAGCATGGTCCCCAGCAGGTGGCAGCGCGGGTACCACCGGGACAGGGAGAACAGGGAATTTCCCCAGCGGGAATTGAGCGAGGCAGGGCTCCCCAGCAGCAGCCAGCTTGGCTCAGTAATAATCTAGTGACTCATCCAGCCGGCTCCTTCCTGGTTCTAGAAGCTGCCTCCTCGCTGAGTCCCAGACCAAACGGTTGTTCATGACACAATAAAAACACATGGGAAATTCCAACCCCCGAGCCAGCCCTCCCTCCTTTCCAGAGCCCGAGCCCTGCAACGCGAGGTGATGAATAGCTACGGGGCATTCTCCATCCCACCGACCGCGGGACAAACACCTTCTCCTCGCGTCTCACGGGTCACCGGCCGCACACGAGCCGGCAGAGCGATGCCGCTGCGAAAAAGGCTAATACCACGCTGGGCCTTATGAACGGGAGTGTCGTGGGCAGGACATGGGGATTGTAGGGGAGCCTGGACTACCCTGCCTTGTCCAAAGTGTGGATTTCAGGCCTGTCTCAAGTCTGATGTAACAAAGCACGCAGACAGGGCCCGAGAGCCAGCAATTGTTTTGCATAACAACGCAGATTAAGCGAGGTTTGCGAGACGACGTCAAGAACACAGAACAAGCAGCCTTGTACTGGGACTTGTTTCTGATGAGCAAAAAGTACAGCCATGAAACTGTTAACTGTGCACATAACAGTTGGGGCAGGATGTACCCCAAATAGGGGCATTGGGCATTTGACGTATCCTACACAATACGTATCAATCGGTAAATATTATTAGAACGACCACGTCTCTCCCTGCTAAGAACAACTGGTGGGAGGGAGTGGGCAGGGTTGGCCCATACGTCCTGCTCGAGGTAACTAGAAGCGATTAGGCCCTTCACACTGGCTACGTCAGTGGTGGCGTTCCTATGCGTGGGAAAAGACGGAACCACGACCTCCTGCCTGGCACTGTAGGTTGCATACGAGTGAAGTGCAAGTGAATTAGGCTTTATTCTTGTATATAGCAGATCTTTTAGTAATTGCTTTTGCACTGCTTTGCGCTGTATTAATTGCTTTAGAAAGTATCGTATTTAAGGTTTAATTGTCTAGTAATTGTTCTTCAAGCTTGTAAAACTTAAACAACTGTATTAACGGCTTAACGCTCGCAATAAATAAGCAAGTGGTTAAGTAGCCCTGAAGTGTCCTGGTTCCTCTTGGATCTAAAATAAATCAAACCACACAACAGGGGTCTTTGTCCTGCTCCACTCGGCACTGCCAAGGCCTCCGAGTTTGGTGCCGTGTGTCCAGGTCTGGGCGCCGCGTGTTAGGAAAGACATGGGTGTGCTGGAAGGAGTCCAGAGAGCAACAAAAATGAACCAAGGCTTAGAATGCCCGATGAACAGAAGAGTGCGAGGCGACCCGATAACACCTGGCACATGTGCGAAGGGCCGGGAGAGAGGACAGCCATCAACAGTTCTCCCTGTCCACAAGGTAGGACAAGAAGCAATGGCAGGGAGATGTAGGTTAGATATTAGGGAAAGCTTTCTATGTTAACCTTGGCATAGGTTTTCAAGGCAGGATGGGGAATCCACACCATGGAGGTCTGCTGGCCAAATGTCTGTCACAGATAGTCTAGGTCTATTTGGTCCTGCCTCAGGGCTAGATGGCTCCTCAATTTCTCTTCCACCAAATCTCCGTCGCTGTGATTTCTATGACAAAGGCATTTCAGACAAATGACCTCCCTTCAGACCCACTGGCAAAGGACAAACCCGATTCAAAACCCTTCCTCAGAGCAACGCCGCATCTTCCTACAAATCCCTTCTTTAAATTCTCCTTTGCCAGGAGGCCAGCCAAAAAACGTTAAAAACCAATGCACAGTTCTGTAGCACCTTCGAGACTAACGACTATATAGAGATGGTGTCACGTGCTTTCGAGGGCACAACCCACTTGCTCAGGTGAGTGAAGAAAAAAGGGGGGGACCCTCACAATTTATAACAGAAAAAGAAGGGGGGGCTACCTGTCAATTGTAGTACCGGTGCTAATGAGGTGAACTGAGCGGGCTGGAAATGTCCCATACTTAGCTTTTGATGTCAACTGGGTGTTGAATATAACGGCCCTCCCAGTTCATGTCTTTGTTCAAGCCATGAGAGATAGTGTCACATTTGCATACGAAGGCCAGGTCTGCAGTTTCCCTCTGTAGTTGGTTTTTGAAATGACTTTGCAGAAGAATGGCTACTTTGAAATCCATGAATGAGCGCCCAGGCAGGTTGCAATGTTCTCCTACAGGTCAAAAACCTTGACAATGAAGAGGTAGTTGCTGTGCTGAGACCAGTTCCAAATCATACGGACCAGTACAGCCTCATGAATTTCCTTGAGCTCCCCTGTCTGGCTGTAGCCACCTGCCATCTCTTGTCCTCTGCTTAGATTTTTGGGCAAGGAGCCAGCTTTTTGTTCTGAGTTTCCATGGCACCTAGCTGCATGGGGTTCTGGTTCATAACAGGGCTACCTGGGGCTATCGCAGCACCACGCAGTCGTAAGATAGATGTGCATAGTTGGGTATGTCTAGATTGCGTTGCTATTTCGGGATACCGGAAGTATCCCGAAATAGCAATGCTGTGCCTTTAAAAGTGCCAGCTATTTCCCAAAATAACAGGCGTGCTACTTCAGTGTCCCTGTCACCATCACTCCACGAGAGATAAGGAATTTGTCGGAATGGTGCCTTATTTTGAAATCTGGTGCGGTGTAGACAGCAGCAAATTTCGGAATAAGCTCTTTCCACTTAGACTCAGAATAAACTACGCAATTTGCTTAGCGCAAATTGTGTAGCTTATTCCAACAGAAGGGGGCTGTCTAGACGCACCCTTAGTGACAATATTCATCAACCCCAAAAACCAGCCCACAGATCCATACCGAATTAAGCCGGAGACAGGCTATCCTAATTAAACTCTATATACATGAGTCTGAGGCAGTCGAATGATGAACGGTTTGCCATAATGGTCTACTGTCCACTGATCAATAGGACAGACAGATAATATTTCCCATTTCGCAGTATTTCTTAAAGCAAAGAGCGAGGCCCTGGAGTCGGGAGAACGAAGAGCAGTAACAAAACACTCCTCCAGCAATCGCTGGGCCCACGTTAGAGCCATGCCTGGAGACTGTAAGGCCGTGTCTGCGCAGCCTGCGGCAGCAACCCAGGGAGAAACGGGCTGAGCCCAGATGGCTGCCCAAACCACAGCTCCAAAGCTCTGTCTGCGCAACTGTGGTTAGTGCTGTAGCGTGAGACCAGCTAGCTCAAATCCCTCTGCCGCGGGACACCACTGGCCGGGCAGCCCGCAGCCTGAAAGAGCAAAGGGGTTGTGTGTTACATGGGTGGTGTGAGAATGTGTCTTGTCTGCTCCGCCGGGGGAAATCAGGCATATGGCTGTCCCTTAGCATGCGCTGAAGCACTGGCAGAGCCCCACTGGGACCAGGCTAGGGCTGGGAGAGAACAACTCCTTCCCACACGTGGCTCCGGCTAGTCCTAGTGATTGTGGGTTTCTCCCCATTTCATCTCTCAGCCAGAGGGATGTGGGACCGCGGGTGCTTCCCCTAGTAACTGGCTTGAAGGTCCCCTTGGTTTTGGGCTAATGACTGAACACGGGGCTAGAATTCCTGGGTCCTATTCTGGGCGTTGACACTATCTCGCAGTGCGGCCTTGGGCTGCCCACCCTCCCCTGGCTCTGTGCCTCAGTTTCCCCACACGTAAAATGAGGATAGTGATACTAATATTTGTATAGCACCTTGAGAATATAAAACACTCAGGGTTCTGATGAGAAACAGATGTCAGCCACGAAGCCTGGGGTGCTTGGACTTGCAATTTAGTTTGGCTCATTATAATGCAAAGGGACCAGGAGCAAAATTTGAAAAACGATCTGAATTCATCCAGAGCTGGGTGTTGTGTGTCCCTAGCATCCCGGTGTAGACCCATCCCTAATTATCAGTATCAGTGTCCAATCTAAACTATTGTCTTCAGTAATATCATGTGGCAGCGAGTTCCACTGGTTCATTTCACGTTGTGTTGCTTGGTTTCCATTTCACCTGGATCTGGTGCTTGTCAAGGACATGGAACAGGGTGAAAACCCACAAGCCGACTTGGTTATGTCATAGGCCATTTAGGGGTCACTCCCGAGTGGGGAATAAATTCCTCTCCCGAGGGGCGAGATGGACTCTTTGTTATAATTGACTGTCCTCTCTCTCCTCAGCTTCACAGGACCCCCTCCAGCCAGCGTGTGTCCTCCAATGGCCGAGGCTCTTTCCTTCCGCAGAGGGGTCTGAGCGAAGGCCAGTCTCTCACATTGCTGCTCTCCCATGATCCCCTTGGCTCCCTCCGAGCAGCCTTTCCAGATGCTAATTAAACCAGGCTGAAGTTTATTGCAATGCCGCCCTTCCCCCATCACCGAAAGCACAACCTGCTCTGCTTAGCAACCGGCTGCACAGAGAAGAGGCTGGATCGATAAGCGCCAAGCGCTCCCAGAGCCTTTCCCCAGCAATGGCCAATCAGGGCTACCCTGACCCACAGGCAGCTCGGTACGCGGCCGGCCAGCCAGCCAGGGAAATCCTAGGCTAGCCCACCCACCCTCCTAGATCCTCCAGCCCCCAAGCTAAGCAGCAGGGATCGGGCTCTTTAGCGAAGTGCTGGGCCTGCACGGAGACAGACGGACACCAGGGCTCGGCCCCCCATGGCTCCAACCCTGCACCCAAGCGCTGTTGACATGATCTCATCTTACCTGGCTTTCTCCCCGCCCGAACGGAAAGCACCGGTCCTGGGACACAGGGCAGCGGAGAGGGGCTCCGGAACTCAGCCAGGAGCATCTAAGGTGCATTCTCATCTCCCTCCCCACGGAGGCCTCAGGGTTACTGGCAGGGCTGGGGACCCAGATCCCTGCCTGGCAGCGGCTCAGCCCGGTAGGGGAGGCGGATCCCCTGCGCCAGCCAGGCACTCACCGCGTTCATGTCGATGCCGTTGGTGTAGGACCAGGCGTGCTGGAAGTACTCCTCCAGGCGCTGGCGCAGCGGGTTGGGGATCTGGTGGAAGCGAATGAACTCCTTCACCCTCAGCATCTGGGTGTGGTAGCGGGCCGTGCCCGAGTACAGGCGCTGGATGATGGCGGAGACGTTGCCGAAGATGCTGGCGTACATCAGAGCTGCAACGAGAGGGCAGGGTTCAGGGATCCCGCAGGAGGCTCCGGCGAGGGGTGGAACTGCTCCTGCGGCCCCAGCCCTCAGGCCTTGCTCCCTTGCTCCAGCTCTGACCCCCTCCTGATCCTGCTCCAGCTCCAACCCCCTCCCTGCCTGCTCATCAAGACACCTAATCCCCCCCGCCCCAGCAGCTCCCATTTGTCATGGCTGCTTCCCTTGTCGAGCCCCATGGACACACATGCTGCAGGTTCGCAGCCTCAGTTGGGGGGAGCTCATGCTTGGGATTGGGGGACATCTGGCAGCGTGCTGGGGGGCAGTAGGGCCAAAGCACCCTGGCATCTCTTGCTGGGGGTCAGACTGGGGGATCAATCCATGCAAAAGTCCCTGTCTCTGGTCTAGTGCCCTGTCTGACTCCTCATAGACTCATAGACTTTAAGGTCAGAAGGGACCAGTTTGATCATCTAGTCTGACCCCCTGCACAGTGCAGGCCACAGAATCTCCCCCACCCCCTCCTAGAATAATCCTCTCACCTAGATCTCAGATATTGAAGCCTTCAAATACTTTGAAGACCCCAAGATGCAGAGAATCCTCCAGCTGTGATCTGTGCCCCATGCTACAGAGGAAGGCGCAAAACCTCCAGGGCCTCTGCCAATCTACCCTGGAGGAAAATTCCTTCCCGACCCCAAATATGGCGATCAGCTAAACCCTGAGCATGTGGGCAAGACTCACCAGCCAGACACCCAGAAAGTTCTCTATAGTAACTCCTATCATCCCTCCAGTGACCTATTTCCCACTGATAATGAATGGTCAGTTAGTTACCAAGATCATGTTATCTCATCAACCCATCCCCTTATCATGGAATCATAGAACTGGAAGAGACCCCAGAAGGTCGTCAAGTCCAGCCCCCCGCTCTAGGCAGGACCAATCCCATCTAAATCAACCCAGCCAGGGCTTTGTCAAGCCAAGACTTAAACACCTCTAGGGATGGAGATTCCACTACTTCCCTAGGGAACTCATCCCAGTGCTTTACCACCCTCTAAAGACCGACCCCGGTTGGCACGGATCTGGGAGCTGGCCTGACTCACTGGCCTTCTCGGGAGCCTCCCCGAGGGAAGCTGGGTTCTCAGCGCAGCAAATGCCTGCTTGGGCAGCTCAGTCCCCCGCCTGCACCCCAGCGCTGGGCTGGGCAAGTTCTCCCCACACTGCTCAACCTGAGCTGCCCTGCTCCTCTCCCCAAGCAGCCTCCGGCCCCCACGGCACCCCAGGAGGGTGAGTAGGAACAGGCTGCAGAACAGGCCCCTCAACTGAGGGCCAGGTGGCCCCCGAGGGTGAGTGGGGACCATGCCGGGGGCCTGGGCAGGCACTCACAGCCAATCAGCATGACGCAGATGGAGAAGATCTTCTCGGAGTTGGTGTTGGGCGAGACGTTGCCGAAGCCCACGCTGGTGAGGCTGCTGAAGGTGAAGTAGAGCGCCGTGACGTACTTGTCCTTGATGGAGGGGCCGGAGGAGAGGTCGCTGTCGTTGTAGCGCTTGCCGATCTGGTCGCCCAGGTTGTCCAGCCAGCCGATCTTGTGCTCCATGTAGGGCCGCTCCACGTTGCCGATGGCGTACCAGATGCAGGCCAGCCAGTGGGCGATGAGGGCGAAGGTGCACATGAGCAGGAAGAGCACGGCCGCCCCGTACTCGGAGTAGCGGTCCAGCTTGCGGGCCACGCGCACCAGGCGCAGCAGCCGGGCCGTCTTCAGCAGCCCGATCAGCGTGGTGGTCTGCAGGGGGGCCAAGCGGGAAAGGGAGATCACCCGGAAACCACATGGAAACCTCCGAGGAGGCTGCGATTAGAATGGGAGCCTAGGAGCCAGGACTTGGGGTTCCCTTTATGCCTCTGAGATACAGTGCGGTCTAGTGGTTAGAACAGAGGACTGGGAACCAGGATTCCAGGGTCCTCTCATCCCAGCTCTGGAAAGGAAGGGCCGTTAGCCCTGGTTTACACTAGGGCTTTATTTCAGAATAACCCCCCTTAGGTCAAATGTATAAGCGTCCACACGACTAAGCCCGTTATTTTGAAATCTGGACTCCTGCTTTTCCTAGAATCATAGGGTATGTCTACACTACCCCGCTAGTTCGAACCTCGAGGTGTACCGGTAGTTCGGAATAGGAATCCTAGTCCCGAACTACCTACTTCGAGTCCCGTGTAGCCGCGCTGCACGGGGTTCGAACCAGCGGGGTTTTAAAAATGGCGGCTCCCCGCTTATGCAAATGAAGCCCGGGAAATTCAAATCCCGGGCTTCATTTGCAAGTGCGGTATGCCTACATTACCCCGCTAGTTCGAACTAGGAGGGTAGTGTAGACATACCCCCCTAGACTGAACTCCATTATTCCTCATTCCACCTGGGGGGAGAGGGCGTGAAGAAATTTCAGGGGGGAGCATAAGGCAACCCAGACACATACACACCCTATCAATCCCACCCCAAGTTTTGCTGCTATTTTTTTGGGAGGAGGAGCATGAGGGTTTCTTAAAAATCAAAAAGGGGGTGTGATCCTGAAAAGTTTGGGAACCACTGATCTACAGCATAGGCAATGAAAGGGTAATGTGTTACTGTTAAGTTCTGAAATATATTCCTTTTTGTTTTAAACTTGTCATGCTTTTTGCTCCCTAGTAAAACTCATTTTTCTTGGAAGCCGTTAGGGAATAATGCCCATTCCAAAATAGTTATTTTGAAAGAGCATCACTATGGCCGCTCCCAGGCCGCTATTTCAAAATAACGACTCCCCAGAGTCATTCGAACTAATGACTCCCCCGTGGTTCCTGGGGCTCTAAGTCGAGGTAGCGTGTCCACACTGAGGGAGCTGCCTCACACTCATTTTGAGGCTCCCCCGTAGTGGGGACCCGCTGGTTGGATCTTGTAGCATCGGGAGTTAGGAAATGGATTTTCGTTTTTTCAGGTTTCCTCGTGTAGACATGCCCCCGGCGGTTAAAGCAGAAGCCAAGACTGGGTCTCGTCCTGGCTCCGAGGAGGGAGGAGCCTATTCATGTGAACAGAGGACTCCTGGGTCCGTTCCCAGACTTGCCGCTCTCTGTGCTCAGTTGAAGAGAGATGAGGGCCCTTCCGTAGGGAATGTGTCAGAGTCACAAGGCTCCTGACACTAACGAGCAACAAAACTCCAAACTGAATGGCAGAGGTGCAGTGACACAGGCCGCACCATCCATACCAAGCCTCTACTTGGGGAAACTGAGGCAGAGGAGTTTGGCTGAGGTGACACTAGGAGTCGGTGGCACAGCGAGAAATAGAGGACGATGGCAGCCCATCAAGAGGCTTAGAGACCCCCCCCCCCAATGGCTGGAGACTAGAGACAGCATTATCAGCCCCCCACCCTGGCAGCATGCCGTCCTGCCCCTCAGAAGCTGCTATTTCTGGCACTACCTCTGGCCTGCTGCAAGTCCCTTCCCCTCCTGCCCGTTCTCTGTTAGACTGGGACAGGGACTGTCTCTTGACAGGGGTCTGTACAGCACTGAACACAATGGTGCCCCCATCTCTGTCAGCGCCTCTGGCCTAGGGATGGTGTAGTTGATTAACCAATTAGCAAAAGCTTATCAGTGAATGCTGTTGACTACACGCATTCCCCCGTCCCCACCAGTAAATGTTTTGGCAGGCTGGCCAGAAGCCCGGCTCAGTCTCAGCTTGCGCTGGGTCCAGGACCTTCCCCCGCTGCGACTCTGCATTTAAGCAGACAGGCAGCCTGGCTTAGTTCTGGCTCGCGCCGGGTCTGAGAGCTCAGACTGCCCCTGGACAGGGGCTCCTGCCACCGCGCACTGCTGCCTCTTTATCAGAGGCAGCAGGACAGGGCGACAGGCAGCTGGTCTGCGAGTTTTTAAACTGACTCCTCTCACGGACCAGCTCCCGCCTGGCACCCCGTGCTGCTGCCTCTGATAAGAGGCAGGCTGCAGTGCCCTGGCTGCTGGCCCCACCCCCGGGGACTCTAGAATAGTCGAGTAACCAATACGAATTCTTGAGGTTAATCGACTATTCAATTAACCGATATTTGACAGCCCTACTCCAGCCTCTACCAAACACGAGGAAACATCCAGAAAGGCGTCCCCAGGCATTCCCTAGAGCATCGCTTAGCACGGCCACCCTGATCCAGCTGGTCTCGCAGCCTCCTTGAAAGATGGGGCAGACCACTGGTTCCAGCCAGCCGCCTGCCGTACTCAATGGCAAATCTCCTCGTCCTCATTCCTCCCCAGGGAGCCGTGGCTTCTCTGGGATGGAGCGGCCGGTGCGTGGACAGTGGCTTGTTATTGTGGAGCCAGACGCACGAGGCTGTCCCCCAAAGTGCAGCTGCAGTGTCAATACAGCCTGGGGGGGTTATACTGTGAGCCAGTGACCTCAGCTCACGGCTGCTTAGCTTGTACCAGGAAAACGATGTTTCTCTGCTGCTCTCTGATCAATCTGCTCCCTCTCTCTTGCCCTCCCCTCTTTCCAGCTCCCTCCTTTTCCATCTACTCCCCTGTATGCCCGTTTCTCTCTGTCTGTCCGTCTGCACCAGCCTGCTCAGTGTCTCTGCCAGTCCTCTAATGGCTGCTTATAGCTGGACTGAGACTTCGGCTGGCTTGCAAATCAGCTCCAAACACAGCAACCACTTGGCCGCCTCACCTTGACCAAGGTTCCCTCTAACCTTGCCCATCTATGTGTGGAATAATTGTTATGTGGACCAGAGGATGCGCACCGCCAGTGGAAACAAAAAACCTATTGGTGGGTGCTCTGCTAGTCTGCTGGGTGGCATTTGCATTGCTCAGCTTACAGGGAACTCTGACCATGGCCCGGCTCCTGGGCTGGCCCTGAAGCGCTCTTCTAGCCAAGCTTCTCTGGACACTCCCCAGGAGATGGTGCCCGGAAGCCTTATTAACTCGACTGCTGGTTGCTGATTGGGTATTGTCCCTTTCCGGCCCTTCTAGGCCCTTGGAGGACTAAGTCTTGTTGGTACCCTGCCCGGAGTGGGCTTCTCCTAAGCAGGAGCTTGTCAGGGTGCTGACATCTCCAGCAGAGGGCAGAGCAGGCCAGGTACAAAGACAGAGCCGTCTATCCACCCATCCGTCCACATCTCTCTTCCCCACATCTGACGTGCCATCCGTTGTGCGGTGTCGGGCACCAGAAACCACAGGCAGACTGGTCCCTACTCTACCCTCCCAGGCCTCGGCCTAGGTCTCTGCGTTCTACCCATTAGCCCCACTCACCTCGTCAGAGCCGGAGCGGAAGATAAGCAGGTCGAAGGGGATGGCCGCCACCATGTCGATAAGGAACCAGCCCTTGAAGTAGTGGATGGCGATCTTGCCGGGGTGGCTCACCACCTCGTCGTTGATGTTGACGTAGGTGGTGCGGAAGTTGATGAGGATGTCCACGATGAACATGATGTCCACGATGAGGTCGATGATGTTGAGAGGGTTGCAAGAGTAGCCACAGTCCCAGCGCCTCTCCTCCTGCTCCTCGTTGAGCAGGAAGGCGGCCGAGTAGGGCGTGAAGACGGCCGTGTAGATAACCAGCAGCAGGATCAGCCAGTCCCACACCGCCTTGAAGGGGCTGTAGTGCAGGATGGTCCATCGGTGGATCCGCGGCGCCTGCAGCTTGTACTCCGGGAGGACATCCGCGCCCAGCGACAGGACCTGCCAGGGAGACGGGTGTGTGAGGGGCACAGGGGATGCAAGAACCGGGGGACGGAGCTTAGAAGGTCCAGGAGCCCAACTTTGCCCAATGACACCAAGTGTTTGCAAGATCTCTTTGCTCTGCCTTTCCCCAATCAACCCTCTCAACAGCTGATCCCTCCGCCAGGCACCTTGACTCCTTCTAAGCTGCTGATCCCTCCTTTCCCCACTCACAGACGTTCTCCCAATGCACCACCCCAGCTTGTAAGAGGCCTGGGGTTGCACCAGTCCCGGGTTGAGGTGGGCTCCCACCATGGGACAGTACGAGACAGACAGCAGCTGGGACCAAGATGCCAGACGAGCTGTCACTCCATTTATCCAAGGGCTCCTGACCCCCTTTTCAAGGCGGGCAGCAATCCCTGGGGAGAGGCCAACTAGGGGCCTAAAGAGAACCTATGGCATCCATAGTTAGACACCAAAACATCTGGCCTGAATGGCAGAACAACTGCATGGAATTCAGGTCAGATTTATTCAGACGCCTAACCATTGAATTAGGAGCCCAATGGATTTAGGAGCTCAAAGGATTTAGGAGCCCAATCTCAGCCACAGTGTAACAAACTGGCCAGTGTAGGTGCATCCTGCTGGAAGCCATCCGTGGCATGTCACAGACCCTCTACTGCTAACAGCAAAGGTGATTCTCCGTTAGTGGGCATGGCAGTTGCCTCTGCTTAGGAGCAGAATATGTAATTGGGTTGGGCACCTGAACATTTGGGGCACCACTGGGTCTTAGTGTCCACCCACCCACCTCTCCCTACCCCTGGTCTGAGGCTCTGCCTCCTCCGGAGAGGGTCTCACTAACGTAAACGTGACAAACTCTGCCAGGACGCTGAACCTGTGATGGAGCCACTTGAGTGGTCACAAAGCCATTTCCCAGGCATTTGCTGACTCCAGCTACCTACTGCCAGTTTCTGAATGTACTGTGTTAGCACGGGCGTGAGGTGAAAGGCCAGCTGGGGAAGGCAAGCCCCAGCCCCGCCCCTTTCCACCCGAGAACCCGCCCCTTCTGCCTGATGCCACGCCCACTCCCATCCCAATCCTTCTAGGCCACGTGGAGAGCCACGGCTGCCGTGCTGCAGCCCCAGCCCAGCTCTCCTTGGTGGCCGGGGAAAGTCGGGCTGCCGAGCTGCGGTCCCGTCCTTCCTTGGCGGCTGAGGGAAGCTGCGCTGTGGCGACCAGGGAAAGCCAGACTGCCTTTTCCGGCAGCCAGAGCCAGGCTGCTGCGCCGCAGCCCCAGCCTTCCCCGGTGGCGGCCCCAGCCTTAGGCTGTCGGAGGCGTAGGCAGTTTGGGACGGCTGTGCCCACCCTTGCCTGCACGCCCGCCTGCCCATGTGTGTTAGTCCACACAGGAGCTCCCTTTAAAATCTGCTCTAAAACCATTGCATGGGGGTGAGTCTACAGTCACCTCTGTGCTGCATGGGGCCCCATAAGCCCCAAGGGCAGCCCAGGGACAAGTCCAATGGCCAGAGTCCTGCCTCAGTTCCCTTCTCCCTCACTAGGGACCCTGAGGTTTGGTTGCTGATGGCAGCAGGCGGACGGGGAGAGGTGGAGCCAGGCTCCGAGCCCCCAGCTGCGGGGGGGTGGGGCATGCAAAGCGCTGGGCACAGGCACCCGCGAGGCCTGCCTTTGTGGGGCCCCCTGCCCGGAGGCCGGTCTAAGGGGGCAGCAATCGACGTGGGTGTCAATCCCACAGTCCTGGCCAGGTGTGCAGGGAGTCCCCGCTCTGGCCTCACCGCTGCGCGGGGCTTAGAAAGGTGCCAGCCGCTGAGTAGGCAACAAGTCCCATCGCGGAACCAGGCCTCGTTCCACGTAGCAGCCTCGGAGAGCCAGTCATGGGTTCGCTGGCCCCTCTCAGTACAACGAGCTGATCTCTCCGGGCAGCTCAAAGCTTAGCAGCCATCACCGCGCTAGGAAGAGAAGGAATCACCCCCCTGCTACCGCAGCCCCACAACCGGCTCTACCGGTGCCCCTCCCTCCCGACACGCAGCCCCTGCTATTCCAGCCTTGGCTCCCCACAACCAGCTGTACCGGTGCCCCTCACTCCCGACACGCAGCCCCTGCTATTCCAGCCTTGGCTCCCCACAACCAGCTGTACCGGTGCCCCTCACTCCCGACACGCAGCCCCTGCTATTCCAGCCTTGGCTCCCCACAACCAGCTGTACCGGTGCCCCTCACTCCCGACACGCAGCCCCTGCTATTCCAGCCTTGGCTCCCCACAACCAGCTGTACCGGTGCCCCTCACTCCCGACACGCAGCCCCTGCTATTCCAGCCTTGGCTCCCCACAACCAGCTGTACCGGTGCCCCTCACTCCCGACACGCAGCCCCTGCTATTCCAGCCTTGGCTCCCCACAACCAGCTGTACCGGTGCCCCTCACTCCCGACACGCAGCCCCTGCTATTCCAGCCTTGGCTCCCCACAACCAGCTGTACCGGTGCCCCTCACTCCCGACACGCAGCCCCTGCTATTCCAGCCTTGGCTCCCCACAACCAGCTGTACCGGTGCCCCTCACTCCCGACACGCAGCCCCTGCTATTCCAGCCTTGGCTCCCCACAACCAGCTGTACCGGTGCCCCTCACTCCCGACACGCAGCCCCTGCTATTCCAGCCTTGGCTCCCCACAACCAGCTGTACCGGTGCCCCTCACTCCCGACACGCAGCCCCTGCTATTCCAGCCTTGGCTCCCCACAACCAGCTGTACCGGTGCCCCTCACTCCCGACACGCAGCCCCTGCTATTCCAGCCTTGGCTCCCCACAACCAGCTGTACCGGTGCCCCTCACTCCCGACACGCAGCCCCTGCTATTCCAGCCTTGGCTCCCCACAACCAGCTGTACCGGTGCCCCTCACTCCCGACACGCAGCCCCTGCTATTCCAGCCTTGGCTCCCCACAACCAGCTGTACCGGTGCCCCTCACTCCCGACACGCAGCCCCTGCTATTCCAGCCTTGGCTCCCCACAACCAGCTGTACCGGTGCCCCTCACTCCCGACACGCAGCCCCTGCTATTCCAGCCTTGGCTCCCCACAACCAGCTGTACCGGTGCCCCTCACTCCCGACACGCAGCCCCTGCTATTCCAGCCTTGGCTCCCCACAACCAGCTGTACCGGTGCCCCTCACTCCCGACACGCAGCCCCTGCTATTCCAGCCTTGGCTCCCCACAACCAGCTGTACCGGTGCCCCTCACTCCCGACACGCAGCCCCTGCTATTCCAGCCTTGGCTCCCCACAACCAGCTGTACCGGTGCCCCTCACTCCCGACACGCAGCCCCTGCTATTCCAGCCTTGGCTCCCCACAACCAGCTGTACCGGTGCCCCTCACTCCCGACACGCAGCCCCTGCTATTCCAGCCTTGGCTCCCCACAACCAGCTGTACCGGTGCCCCTCACTCCCGACACGCAGCCCCTGCTATTCCAGCCTTGGCTCCCCACAACCAGCTGTACCGGTGCCCCTCACTCCCGACACGCAGCCCCTGCTATTCCAGCCTTGGCTCCCCACAACCAGCTGTACCGGTGCCCCTCACTCCCGACACGCAGCCCCTGCTATTCCAGCCTTGGCTCCCCACAACCAGCTGTACCGGTGCCCCTCACTCCCGACACGCAGCCCCTGCTACGCCAGCCTGAGTGTTTGGAAACTGCAGTGCCTGGAGTCAGCCCGGGGTCAGCTCAGGGCACTGGGGCTGTGTCTACATTGGCCCCTATTCCGTAATAGGGATGCTAATGTAGCACTTTGGAATAGGCAAATAAGCTCTTTTCCGGAGGATCTCTTATTCCTACTTTCAAGTAGGCAACAAGTAGGAATAAGAGATCCTCTGGAAAAGAGTTTATTTTCTGGAGGATCGCGTCCAGACTGGCGCTTTTCTCCCGCTTATC